TTCCTGTGGCCTGGTACCCACACGATGTGAGTAGTAGATTTTGAAGCTAGATCATTAAGGGATTTCCTACATTCTATCGCAGTTATAGACGAAGTATTGTAGCATTCCAGTGACTTGATAGCTGCTTGGCTATCGGAGTATATAGTTACTGAATGCAGGTTAAGAGAAGATTCGCTGAGCCAGAGTGCAGCCTCTTTTATAGCCGCAAGTTCTGCTTGGAAGACACTGCAGTGGTCTGGTAGCCTAAAGCAGACATCTAGTGAGAGGTCCTTCGAGTGTATCCCAGTCCCTACTCTTAGATTTAGTTAGGAGCCGTCTGTGTAGATGGCTGTATAAAGGGCGAACACACCAAAACTGCAACACTTTGGGAAACTTATAAACTCACCTAAAAAGGTTTCAATATTTTGAAACTCAAATGCCATGAGTAGACCATGACCTTAGTTTCGCGTAGGAGAAATTTCATTTGAATTTGAGTTCTAGTTAAGTTAAAAAAGGCAACCGAGTTAGAAACGATACAAATTGTTTTGCACGAGTTTATAAATAATCCAGCCTTAAGTGTGCGTAAAATTGCTAAAAATTTAAAATTGCAACATTTCACAGTTTGCAGGGTTTTGAATCGGTACAAGGAAGGTCTGGCAGTTACCAGAAAACCTGGAAGCGGGGCTGAGCATTTTCAAAGTGATAAAAACAGTGCTCGGAAGGTCCTCAATGCGTTTTCGCGAGATACGAAGATTAGGTCGCGTTCTGTTGCAAAATATGTTCGTAAATCGCATTCTTTCGTACAAAAGGTAAAGCGGAAAGCTTCATTGAGAAGGTTTAAAGCGCAAACAGCGCCATATCGAGGCGCAAAGCAGAATGTTACATCTAAGTCTCGCAGCTGGAAGTTGTATGAATCCCGAATACAAATGCATTGCTATGGACGACAAAACCTACTGCTTTGAAAATTTCGAATATATTGCTGGTCAAATTTTTTATACTGCTGCAAGTCGTCAAGATGCCCCTGAAAGCTGTAAGCTGAAAACGAAGTCCAAATTTCCAAAAACATACATGGTTTGGCAAGCTATTTGTTCCTGTGTCTGTAAGAGCAGCCCTTATTTCACATCCGGGACAATGAACGCTCAAGTTTATCGGGATGAGTGCCTCAAAAAGCGTTTTTTTGCCATTTATCAACAGACATGGTACTAGACCACTGTTCTAGTCGGACCTGGCAGCTGCCACTATGCCAAGGACACATTACCATGGTATAATGCAAACAACATCAATTTTGTACCTCGCACCTGCAATCCACCCAATAGCCCAGAGCTACGTCCTATTGAGGAATATTGGTCAATCCTGAAAGGGATATTAAAGAAGACGGGTGAAACTGTAAGAAATATCGAAGAATTCAAAACAAAGTGGTTGTGGTCGTCGCGTAAAGCCGATGATGCACTCGTGCAGAAGATGATGGCGCGTGTGCGACGAAAAGTCCGATCACTTGCATATGGAGCAAATCTTCTTCTTCTTTTTCTTATTTGGCACTACAACCGTTTGTCGGTTTGGGCCGAGACCAAAAATTAGGAGCAAATAATAACTAATATTTTAACACTTTAATTACATATATATAAACTTCAAAGTATTATACTAAAAAAAAAATATTTCAAAGCCTTCTAGTTTCTTTCTGGTAGTCATTTTTAAGTGTCGTAGTTTTGGTATGTTCACCACCACCATGTTATCTTGGAGGCCCCAGACCGAGTCGTCCTTCTTGGAAGGGATACGAGTGGAGCACTTATTCTCGAGCAGAATAATATAGGACGTACCACTGCTGTTTAAATGCAGTGAACTTTGTGGGGTTCGAGACTCCATTTCTTGCCTATAGTCGTTTTACATTGGTAGAGAGCGGTAATGGTGTTTTTGGCCCGCTCCTCTACGTTGCGTTGCCAGATTAATTTCATGTCCAAGATGACGCCCAAGCATTTCACTTTATTAGTGAGCGATAGCTTTACGCCTTATAGGGGGATTTTTGTTTTCCGTGTAAAGAGAGCCGTGACCGTTTTAGCCGGGTTGGCGGTCAGTCCGCATTCTCTACACCTGGTTTACACGATACTCAAGGCGTTCTGCAACAGTTCTCCCATTATTTTTGGGTGTTTACCGGTTGCAGTTAAGGCAAGGTCATCGACGTATGCAATAGCGTTGCAGCCGGTGCCCTGTAGGCGCATGAGAAGAGTGTGGTGAGAATACTCCTCCTTCAGGAGTGCCCCTTTTCTCATATCTTGTGATGGGAGGAGAACACGGACTTTCCTTTTGTTAGAGGTTACTAAAGTTGGCCTACTTCCGAGGTTACAAATTGCTAGGCTATTTGAAAAAATAAAATCCATAAGAGACTCACCCTGATTGTTAATATCCATGGACTGACCCCCACAGCGAATGATGTGCGTTCGCATCGCTACCGATCACGATTGGAAATTTCCATTTATTGGCCTCTTTCACAACGTCCCGCAACCGGGTCGGGGGATAAGTGGCATGGTCGTGTGCCATGTACGATGAGACCAGCCAAAGTGGTAAAGCGCTACTAACGGAACTAGCATCGCTATCTGTGCCTACATTGGCCCCCGGGTCTGAGTCTCCACTTGTCCGTCCAGGTTTCCTTGGGGCGGAGCTGGTTCACTCTCCCCTTTCATGGAGCCGTCCTGAGAAACAGGGTTGGAAGCCACGGGTTCATTTATAGTGCCTTCCGTGTTTTGGGAAATGCCATAATTCCCTTTTTGGTTTTAAGGGTTATGGAGTAAAAACCGTAGCTTATTACCCCATTGTTTTCAGCGAGAATGGGCAGAGACTCCTCGTTTATCACAAGCATGTTATATTGCTGATCCTCCACTACTCTCCAATCAAGGGTTTTTAGTGAATCTTCGGAAAGCTGGATTATCTCCAAGATACCTTCGGGCTTGGCGGGTTCTTCTGGCACCCAGGCACTGGTCCGTGAACTACAAGGAATTTCTTCCTTATGCGCCGGCCACAGTTCCCCAGCATGGCTATGGCTTCCTTGTATAGTTCACCGACATTTCGTCGGCACAGGAAACGAATTTGATGCGGGCTTGGTAAAGACTCGCATCTCCGACTACAGTGTGTCCAGAATCTCCTTATCGACCCGGCAGAGGCCCACAGGGACGGACTTCCAATTGTCCGCCATCAGGTTCCCCTCCGGGCGTCGCTTATCGATAATTGCTAGGACTAGATGGTCTTTAGCGACATCATTGAAGGCCATTTGAGCCCGAACAGGGTTAATAGAGCCGGAAGAATTTGCAGACCTGGGCATTTTAGGTTCCCGCTCAGTGCTGTTGTCCACCGACCGCCGCCTCTTAGAGTCCGATGCCTTGTGGGTTGGGGAAGTTTCCTCGGGGTTCGCGGGGGACGTCCTTGGTCTTCGTCCATTTCCGGCTTTCGGCAAGGGTTCTTGCCGAATTACGCCTTCACGGCCGGACGAACCTCCTTCTTCGCCCTAGAGCTGCCAGGGGAGGGTTTGTTGTCGCAGCTCTTTGAGGGTTAGAGACTTCTCGCCTGGCGTCAAGCCTATCAACTACCTTGACCGCAATAGGCTCTTTAGTGCCGGGTGCCTCCATCGCCTCGGCCGCTATAGAACACCCTCGAGGGGTTTCTCCATTGCCGCTTTGGACATGGAAGGCCGGAAAACTATTTCACTCGACCGTTCAAGCCTACTTTGCGCCGCTATCTCCGGTCCATTGCATCCCTCGAGGGGTACGTTGAAGCCGATGGTGAGCGCGGAGAGACCTTCGGGCTAACCCGAATAATTTGGCCGTAAAGGCCCTTTTGGAGCCGTACTAGCGGTAGCCAAGGTTTTTTTGACTTGATTAACGCCGTGTTCGTCGGCGTCATTTTTACCCGTGCAGGGATACGGGGCTGGGTTGTTTATTTTTGCATTACAGCTGTGTCTTTGGTCGCATACTGATCCGAAGCCTTTCTGCGACCTGGTAAAAATAGGAGGGAAACGAACGGTCGGCCACAGCAGAGCCCCATGCTGTGGTAAGTCCACCGTTACTCCCGGAGGCGGACAGGGATCCGGGAGGCGTCGTTAAAATACAGTCGGAAAGCCCCTTGACTGCAAGCCATCCAGTGGGCACGGTGACGCATGAAACCCTGAATTAAGGAGGCGTTTTATACGTACCGCCAGGTACTCTAGAAATAGCCTAAATATGACACCGCCTTTTTTTGTCGATTGTGTATACCCGCGAAGCTAATACGCCTGTGTAAAAGAACGTTGAGCGATACCGTCAAAATTGGGAAAGACCTTTCCGTGCCGTTTGATACCAAACGAGGTTTAAGGCAAGGCGATTCGCTGTTGTGTTGGCGAAGATAATAAGAGACGCAAAACTGAACCGCTCAGGCACAATATTTTACGATAGTAGATGGATAGCGAATTAAAGCGGGTGGGTCTGGCGGTGAAAGGGGACAAAACAAAGTAGCTTCTGTAATCAGACAAACGTCACTGCTGACTGTGATAAGTTTAAAAATTTAGACAAGTTAATTTGTTTAGGGACCAGCACAACAGCCTTAAAATCTAATGGAGAATAATACTTGCCAACATATTTTTTAAGGCTGAGTATGCTATTGAGAAGTAAAGTCTTATCTCGTCGTTTAAAAATCACACTAGAAGTTGCGCATAATGCCATAATGACGAGGCGGCTCGCGGAATTTTCGAGAGATATATTTTGCGGAAGACTCGTGGTGTTGGCGATGGGGAATTCCGCAGACGATGGGTCGATTAGCTGTACTTACAAGCTTTGCGGATACGCTGGATTGTTCATGTCGTACGGATGGACAGAAACTCTCCAGCTCTGAAAGTATTTAACGCGGGTCGCGATGCTCGTAAAAAAAGGGGGAAGTCGGCCAAAATCGGTTACGCCGCTAATCAAGAAGAAGAAAACAAACCGTTTATCCTTTACCAATTACTGTGAAATTAAGTTGTATGATTCATTATTAATTAAAACTCTATTATATTTTTTTAGATACTCAGCCATATAAAGGCTTATTTAGTGAACGTCGTTGGAAGGACCTCGTTCTGAACTTTCGAAATGAAAATTATCGTATATTCCAGCTATCAACACAGTCTTTACTAAGCGTCACAATCCAAGTAAGATGAATATATGAAATTATTGAAATGATACTATGGTAATTCTTTTTCGCTTAGGCTGGCCTATCAGCATTAAAAACGCCACAATGCTATTCATCAAATTGTAAAAATCTCCATTGCCCCGTTTGTCAGGAGGATTTCAATCAGATAGCAAAAAAGTTGCCGTACTCGCACTGTGTGCAAAGTCGCCTTATTTGCCGGTAAGACTAGACTAGACTATATAATAGCATTTTTGTGAATTACGATTAAATCAAAGATAGTTTGGGAAAAAAGGTTTTATCTTTGCGTTATAGTAATAGTATCTAGTTGTAATAATTTTATTTATTTTCTTTAGATCTTGGGTTATAAGAACCCTTAAAAAATTCAAACAAACTTTAAAATTAAAATAAATAAATGTATAATCATGTATTTATTTTAATTTTAAAGTTTATAACAATAAGTGGTGTGTGTCTGCATGACACTTAAAACTAAACAATATTTTGAAGAAAACTCATTTAAAATTTGTTTTCTATATTTAAGCCAAGTACTTGTTAGTAGCAGTGAACGATAGTTATCATCTTTAAGAATATTTAAAACTCTTGGCAGGTTCCAAACTTTCTCACCAAAACAATCGAAACGAATACTTTTATATACACATATGTTAGCTTTTGACCGCAGCTTCGCCCGCGTGATGTTTGGTTTAACGTAATTCTTCTAAATGTAACAGCAAAGGAAACAAATCATTTAACTTTTATTAAAAAAGTTAAGTAATTCAAATTAATGACATCTACTGCAATACATTTCTTAAACAATACGAGGTATGAATTCTGATTGTTCCAGTGGTGATGCGGCTTGCACAGTATGTATTATGAGATGCGTACAGGTTAAGCATCAATATGACTGGCACCTCAACTTTTAATTCCAGGTTTTGCGACGGCATCCCTGACAATTCCTAAGAGTTTGGTAACTCTATAGGATATATTGTTACATCCTCATTTGCCATTACTGTATCAACAGAAATGTATGTGGTCGCCTCACCAGGCACTTTATCATGCGGCCCTCTCCGATTTCAAGGAAGTCTTTAGCAAAGAATCCGGATCCTCAGTCACTGGATGTTAGTTGTGAGGTTCAGTATTAATAATAATAACACAGGTCTGCAAAAAAATGGGTTCGGAATGTTCTATAAAAGTGTAGTGTCATTTCCGAAGTAATTTTTTGCGTAGAATCCGAATCCGGGGTTTAAATTGCTCTATCACGTCAGGACTTTGAGATATCCTAACCTAAAAGTGCAAAAAACGCTGTTTTTGCCCATTTTTGAGGTTATGTAGCTACGAAGATTTTGCTCTTCATAAAAAAGTAGACGTGGTATTTTAAAGTATAAGTCTTCCTCTTTTAAATGCCGTTGAGTTTGCTCAAATATCTTAATTTTTCACTGAGATATCGCATTTTGAAGTCTCCATGTTTCGAAAATGACCTTACACTTTCCTAGAACAAAACGTTGTTGACTTGTGTAATTGATGCACGCACTTATCTCCCCTTCCGCAGTGCCACGCTCGGTGATAGTTATCGTCTTACGCAAATCTCCTGCGAGCAATACGACTACTTCACCTTACCAATACCTTTCCGGAGCTGAAACACTCAAACATCGATATTAAATTTATATCCAAATATGTTGACGATATGTTTGCAATAGTTAACCGCCAAGACGTCAATACAATCTTAAAAACCCTTAATAAATATCACCATAAACTCCAATTCACCATGGAAATGGAACATAAAGCCAGCATCCCCTTTCTTGACGTTCACATCCACAGGGAAAGAAATAATCCCTACTGGACTGGTACACAAACCGGCGTCTTTGGGTCGTGTGATTAATTTCCTATCATCACAACCTAAAAAATACAAAATCAACACGGCCAAAAATTTAATACACAGAGTACTTCCATTGAGTGACCGGAAATTTAACGACATAAACATAGAAAAACTCAAAAAAATCCTAAAAAGTAATAGCTACCCAGAAAAGTTAACATGCGACTTAATAAAACAAAAAATTACAGAAGTAAACGGCCACCTAAATAGAACGTCGAGTAAAGTAACAACAAACATCACAAATAGATATTTCAGCGTTACTTACATTCCGCAGTTGTCCGAGAATTTAAATCAACACATGGCTAAACAACAAAATATAACGCAGCATACAAATCCAATTGCACTTTATCCACAATATTTACAAAAACCAAAACCCCCATAGAAATCAAACAACAAACCAATGTGGTTTATGAAATGAGGTGCAATGGTAAAGAAGCCGAAAACTGTGACAAAGTGTACATCGGAACCACCAAGCCCTGGGTACTCGGCTTAGCGAACACGAAGCAGACATAAAAAAAAAACAAAGAAACAGCACTGCGCTAGCGCAGCATATGGCCATACATACAATACATTAGAAAGCTTAAGAATAATGCAGAAAAGGGCAAATGCAATGAACAAGAAAGAGGATACTGATCACATCGCTGCAGTTTATTTATTATGTTTCACAATCTATGTATATATATAATACGCGAAGGCATTCTTTGTGCAGCATAAAAGAACTGCACCGTTCGTTCGATTTTCAAAAATGGGGCGTCAAATTAAAGCCCTTGGCCTGTAGATGTGCAAACTGGATTTATTTTTTCGAAAGGAGTTGACATCTGTTAAATAATTAAACTCAAGTTATTTACTAATCAATGCCCTCGGATCCGCACCGTGCGTTCGATTTTCAAAAGTGCGGTACCAATTAAAGGGCTTAGGGTGAGCATGTTCAAGAAGGTTTTACTTTTTCGAAAAAAGTTGCGACCTGTTAAGAAATTAAGCTCAAACTAATTAAAAAGCGCAATCAATCATTAAATATGGGAATCAATCGAAATGGTTTGGAAAAGTCTTTATAACTTAACTAAGTATAGGAGGGTTGCCACATGTTAAAAAAATTTAATTCAATTTCAATTAAAGGAATTTGGTAAGTTAATAAGGTATCGCCATATGGGTGTTATACAAAAGAGGTTTAACAAGGTAGTAGTTTGGAAATATTTTGAATAGGGTTGCCACCTATTTGGGCAGTCTAATTGAACTATTTTATACCCAAGTTATAAGAAATATTAACGATGAATGTCAAATGAAAGTTCTTCAAGAAATACTTAGTTTGACACTTTAGAACATTTTTGATGTGTTTGAAGGTTGCCCCAGTTTAAAGGGCTAAACTAAAATTATTTAATAAGTTAAATGAATTACTAACCGATGGTCATCAATGGAAATGGGCCATTCCCACGACAGCCGGTTCTACGTACCGGAATGACTCGGGTTTTACCCGACCAAGGGCTGTTGTTTCGGCGATCTAACCCCGTTTAGGTCGGCGAAGTATCTCAGAAGTTGTTCGTCCATAGGGCTACATTCGATACATAGTGCTGGCATCGAGTCAAACCCAGGGCCAGAAACCTACACCTGCTGTGTATGCCAGAGACGACTACACCACAACGCCACCTCTGTCAAGTGCAATGATTGCGAGGGGTGGAGTCACCTCATAGTCTGCTCAGGACTACGGACACATCGGCAGTGGACCACGTCTTTTGTGGCCCCCTGTTGCTCTTACAGAGCAGCTTCCACGGCTAACCCCAGTCCACCTGAGCAGTCCCACACAAACACCACAGCACAACAACATAACACAATAGACCATACCACAACGGATACAGACCACAGAACACACACAACCACACCACCACCCACACGCCGCCGCCAACAACTCTGGTTCCTACTACAATCTGCACGGTATGTCAGACCAGGATATTCCGTAATGTGACATCAGTCAAGTGCAACACCTGCCTTGGCTGGTGCCACTTTAGGGCATGCTCAGGTCTGCGCACCACGCGAGATTGGACGAGGAGCTTCGAGGGCCCGTGTTGCGCTGCTCGGTCGCAGACCTCAACTGCGACGCCACCCGCCACCACTACAGGGCGGCAACCACCTCAGCAGCGCACACAGCCAACTGCGGCACGACCACACACATCCCTCACACCCCACATCACCACACGTCTCCCGAACCACATGAAGCTCCTTCAATTGAACTGTAACGGGCTTCAGAAAGATCGAGGAGATAACCGTCTTCATGGGACGGTATGGCATATTGATAGCTGCGGTCCAAGAGACGAAGTTGCACAGCAATTCAACACTGTTGAATTGTGCCGGGTACAACGTGCACCGTCGAGTTCGCGAGCGGGATAATGGTGGAGGCTTAGCGTTCATTACGCACCACACCGTGCAGTATCGTCTTATCGAAGCAGACATCGACCGCAGGGATACCACCCGAGAATGTCAGGGCATTGCTATCTAGTCAGGCGATGTTGAGCTCGAAATATTTAACGTTTATATACCCCCTGTCACCTGCTGCCCGGCAGGATGTCACCCTGACATAGGTGCGCTCCTCAGAGGTGAAAACCGTATGGTAGTAGGCGGCTTTAATGCGCACCACGATCTTTGGCACTGAAGCCTGTCAAACGATCGTAGGGGAACTGACTTTGCTGTGCAGATAGACGATTCGACATTCTGCACAATGAACGACGACGCACCCACCAGGATTATGGGCAGCTGCTGCAGCTCGCCAGATCTAACAATTGTAAGCGCTGGTCTGATAGACAGCGTATCATGGCGACCTATGCTGACCCTAGCATCAGACAGTCTGCCCATAGTCATCTCGATTGATAAACCAGCCGAGTTTGCTTCCGCGGAGCACCGAACATATATCAACTTTTCTAAAGCTGATTGAAAAGGCTTCGCGGAATTTTCTGAAAACACCTTCGCTGCTCTCCCCACACCAACCGACGTCCACCTTGGTGAACGTAAGTTCCGGAGGGCTGTCACCGCTGCCGCAGCTCGCTTCGTACCGGCAGGATGTATCACCGACCCATGCCCAAATTTCCCTGCTGAAGCGGCTGTTCTAGCCGATGAGCGTGACAGCCTTCGTCAGGCCGATCCCGGTGATCCCCGTATCAGGGATCTCAACGCGTAGATTCGGAAACTAATAAACGTACATAAGCGGAAGAAGTGGGAAGATCATCTGAAGACCTGCAACTTCACCTCTGGTGTGAGTAAGCTTTGGTCAACCGTGAGGTCACTGTCCAATCCGACGAAGCACGACGACAGAGTCGAAATTTCTTTCGGCGACCATGCTTCGTCGGACCCGGAGCGATGCGCGAGCTATTTTAGCCGGCAGTTCATACTGCATCCTCCGGTGGACAAAGCCAAGCGTCGAGTGACCAGAAGGCTGCACAAACTGCCAACAACCTGTGCCCCCCTTGCTTTTACTTGCGGTGAAGTTCAGGTGGCCATCGGGAAGGCGAAAGCCTCCAAAGCCATGGGTCCCGACGGAATATGCATGCTGATGCTGAAAAATTGGGGTACTGCGGGGGTAGCGTACCTAACGGAGGTCCTCAATTTGTCGATGGCCACTCTCATCATCCCAGATATCTGGAAGGTGGGGAGAGTGGCCTCACTGTTCAAACCGGGGAAACCTGCCAACATAGGAGATTCTTATCGTCCGATAACACTCCTTTCCCCGGTAGCGAAGACACTCGAGGCCTTGCTACTGCCGTATTTCACAAACCACTTGACCCCAGAGAAGCATCAGCATGGTTTCCGTAAAGTGCACAGTACAACAACAGCACTTAACGCCATAACACTCAAATAACTCGTGGCCTTAACCGTAAACGTCCCTGTGAGAGAACGATTCTAGTAGCGTTGGGCCTGTCAAAGGCTTTTAACACTGTCAGCCATTCAACGCTACTAGAAGATATAGAGGCTTCCTCTCTCCCACAGAGGCTCAAACGGTGGTCGGCAAATTATCTAAGTGGTCGACACTCGTCGGTAATGTTTAGAGACAAATCGAGCAAACTTAGGAAAATCAAACAGCCTAGAGTCTACATAACTCGAGACTGCGTCCCTGTGAATGCCGTTCAGAGCCTGTCTGTGAGCTGACGGGTCCAGAGGCTGCTTAATGAACCTCTGGACTTCGTCCGGCAGTTCATATAGATGCCTCCTGACGTGCCTCGGCGAGGGCTCCTCTGCAAGCAGCTGTCTATTTGGGTGGCCACATCTGTGGCTCCCAACAAGAAACTGCTTGCAGAGCATCGTGTTGTGCTCCCTAATTGGGAGCATTTTCACCTCATCGTGGAGGTGGTGTTCTGGTGACATCAGGACGCATCCGGTCGCTGTCCTATGTGCTGTATTTTGTACCGTCTGTAGCTTCGTCCACAGCGTCCTACTAGTCGCCGGCGACCACACTCGTGCTGCGTAGTTTAAAACCGGCCAGCCTATTGCCTTGTATGTTGCCAGCAACGTTTCTTTGTCTTTGCCCCAAGTACTGCCGGCTAGCGACTTCAGGACCTTGTTGCGGCTCTGTACTTTATTGACAATAGCGGTTGCGTGCGTAGAGTAGGAGAGCAGGCTGTCCGATGTTACTCCGAGTATTTTAGGATTATTCACCATCGGAATTGGTGTGTAATCGACGTGAATTCCTAGCGGTAGCCTGACCTCCTTCGTCCAGGTTGTGAACAGGGTCGCAGAGGATTTCGTAGGGGAGAGGGCTAGACACTTTGCAGTGAAGAAGCGAGAAAGTTCAGAGAGATATCCGTTTACAACAACAACAACAACTATAAAAATGGGTTTAAAATCCTTTATTTAAGAACTATATTTAGGAGGGTTGCCATGTGTTTAAAAAATAAATTTCCACTTAATTCATCAGTTACTTGAAATGTTTATAACAATGTCAGACGAAAAATATTTAAGGAAATTTTAGTACCTAAATAATTTTTGAGAGGGTTCTGAAAGTGGTATTTCTTTTAATTATACATAAGTTACATGAAATTTCAAAGTATGGTTATGTTGTTGTTGTTGTTGTAGCGTCTACAACAACCCCGCCCAGGACGGTTGGTATCTCAGTCGTTGTCGTCAAGTTCCACTAACGGCAGCCCTAGGAAGCGTGCAGCTTCTATTGAGTTGATCCACAAGGACAAAGCCGTTAGGGTTGTCGGGTTTTCCGGGCATGCGAAGAGACGTTTCGAGTCATGTGGGGTCTCTCCGCATGCCGGACACTCATTTGCCACATCCTCATTCAATCTACTCAGGTAGGAGTTTAGCCTGCTGCAGTAGCCGGAGCGAAGTTGGGCTATTGTCGTTCGTGTCTCCCGAAGCAGATGAAGCTCCGTCTCGTCTATGTCCGGGAGCGGTATGCCTAGAACGGCATTCACAGATCTAGAGTCTACATAACTCGAGACTGACTCCCTGTGAATGCCGTTCAGGGCCAGTCGGTAAGCTGACGGGTCCAGAGGTTGCTTGATGAACCTCTGGACTTCGTCCGTCAGTTCATATAGATGCCTCCTGACGTGCCTAAACGAGGGCTCTCGATCAGGAACTGCTTGCAGAGCATTATGTTGTGCTCCTTTACGGGGAGCATTTGCGCCTCGCCGTGGGGATGGTGTCCGGTGACATCAGGAGGCATCCTGTCGCTGTCCTAAGTGCGGTGTTCTGTACAGTCTGAAGCTTCGTCCACTGCGTCGTGGCTCCATGCTGTGCGAACCGGACCTCCACCGCAAACCACCACTCGCCCGAGCAGCACATCACCAACACACCCACACCCCAACATGACAACAATAGACACACGTACGAACAATACAGCACCACACACCGCCGCCGCCAACTCCTAGTCCCTCCGACAATCTGCTCGGTTTGTCATTCCAGAATATACCGTAACGCGACATCAGTCAAGTGCAACTTCAGTCTTGACTGGTGCCACTTTAGCCCTTCGATTTGTGAGAAGGTCCCTAGGGACCTTTTCGTATTTCATGTGCCTATATCTTTTTGTTCAATGCATTTTTGAAAAGAATTTATACATGTATTCCAAGAATAAATTAAG